ATTCCATGTTATTGACAAATTACATTTTACAAACGATTTCATTTTAACCACTCAAAATGTTTTCAGGTTAAAAAAAAATTTTTTACTATTATTCTTAATGATTTTTCAAGTATTGAAACTGTCTATATCTTTAAGATATAGATTTTTTTCAGAAGTTGATTTTTAATTTGGTTGTAATATTGACCTTTATTTACACAAAACTAGGAAAACACTATTTCATAGGCAAAACCATTAATATAATTGAAATGTTAAAAGCCAATGGCAAAGTTAGATGTAACCAGGTGAAGTTCCAGGTCTTTCAGGAAAAACAGCAGAGACGTTGGCAACTCTTTTAAGGTTTGAGCAAGATAAAGTCAAACAATAGGTGTAGAACATTATTTCCTAAACTATTGTAATAATCTCTAGCAGTTAAAAAGTCACATTCAAGATTAGCTCATACCTGGAAGAGAAGCGTGCCATCTTCCTGTAGTCCATAGATCTTAGCAGTTTAGGGGGAAAAAAAAGGTTAGCATGGCTTTAATTCAGAAAGTCATTGTCAAAACACCAAAGGAAAACATTAATTTACTTAAGTGAAAGTGGCAATTTAAAATGAAACATATCTCAGGTGAGAAGTATGCTTTCCCCAAAGGTCTTAGGAGAAACAGGAGCCAAGGTGTCCCGGGAAACAGGGGGCTTCTTGGCCCTAATGAATGTTTTGACCTTGAGCCCGGGACTCAGCCTTCCGGGAATTCTCCCGACTCCACAGCAAACCCCTGGGGGCGGGGAGGGCCGCGGGCGGGCCGGGGGCGGCGGCCCTGGAGCATTACAATGCCCGAACTCTGCGGGGAAGGGCGGCGAGAGGCCGTAAAGCACCTGAAACAATCGAGAGAATGGAAGAGGCGGAGTCTTGTAAAACTGTGCTTAACTAGCGCTAATAGCTCTATCCTAGCTTGCAGGTTTAAAATACCAGATTCACTTTTGAAAAAAAAGTAAATCAATTACTCTATCAAGTTGGCGATTCGAGGTTGGAGGAGTGGTGGAAAGTGATTGCTTTAATTAGGAAAACCTAAACACCATGTATGGTTCTCTCAAGACATTCGCTATTTTATTGCCAAGTTTTATTTCTTGAAATTTGCTTCCATCTTTGTTTTTCCAAGAAAAGTGTGTTGAGCCGGCTCCTCCACCCGGGGGAGATCAGGTGGCCAAGAAAGGCGCGCTCTCAGCGGCGGGGAGCTAGGTGTGTGAGGGGTAAGACTAGGAAGCTTGCAACCGAGAAGTTCAGGGTCAGGAGGGGGGCCCTGGGGGGCTCCCGACTTGGCGCAGTGACGTGTGCGTTCCGGGCGACCTCAATTCAAGCGGGGGCTGGGAGGGAGCGGAGCCCGCGCAGCTGCCGGGCGCGGGAAGGGCCAGCCGGGGCGCAGCCGCCGCTGGGGCTCTGCAGTCGGGCTCCAGGCCTGCTCCGGAACAAAGTTCTAGAAGCATGGCAGCCGGCAAGGGAGGCCATTTCGGCCTTGCCACGGGTCGTGCCCTGGCTTTTCTCTCAGTCTCCCAGCGCCCACGGTGCGGCCTCTTCCATCCCCACGCCGCCCGGCCCCACGACACCGGGAATTACCCTAGATTCAATGTGTCACATGGAACCGCAGAAGTGTTTATTTGGTGGGCCCAGACGCTCCAGATGGAGAGGCGCGTCCGCGAGCGGGAGTCTTCTAACATCTCAGTTCCCTGGGTTATTTAATTTGTTACTAAATACGTGCAAAGTCACGAGTAATTTCTAAACCTCATTTAATTCCAATTTCTAAAGGAAAGCCTGGCGTTTACGTAATTGGCCAGGCACACAAATGTGAAGCTTCTATATAGTTCGGTTCACATCCATCTCTGCTTATTGGATTTAGGCGGAACAGAAAGAATTGGTAGCAATTGAGGCCATTCCAGCATCAGTGCCTGCCTGTGTGAATTCACAGGTACTAATGAGAAGAGCCTTTATTTACTTCTACACCTGATCTTGGGAGCATTAAACTTAAAATTATCTTTATTGGGGGAATAGGGCCCTCTGCAATCAATACAGATTGATTGTTGGGATTGTTGTTGGGATACAGCAACATTTTCAACTCAACAGCAACTGACTAATTCCTGCTGCACTTCAACTCTTCCTTGGGTGGTCTTTTCAGCTTAAATGCTTCAAGTCGCAAGCTGAGATCCGTACGGGACTGAGGAACTTGGCCTGCAGCTCTAGGAGGTGGGAGGTGGGGGAGGGCTCAGCAGAGGAGAAGGCTAACCCACTAACCCTGGAGCTGCAAGGAGGCTTAAAGACCTCACTTAATACAGTAAGTTCAGGGCACTTTCCGCAGCACTGCCCTGTCCATTGTGCTAAGCAGGTAAGTAGCATCGACATTATTAGTCTCACCTTATGGATGAGACAACTCGTTCCATTTGGGGATTTAAATGTCTTTTTTTCGGAGACTGGGCCAGCCCATGGCAGAACTGGTAGTAGGACACACACCCTTGCACTGCCACTTCCTTATCTAAAGGGCCTGTTTTGGAACTTTTAGAGCTTGAACTAGGAACCCTACATATCACCTCTTTGTTTTCAGAGGAAGGGACTGAGATCCCCAGTCCCTAGCGATGTTGGCGTGGCTGGGCTGATTTCAGCCCGGAACCCAAGGATGCCAGCCTTTCTGCCATACGAAATGCCCTCTCATCCAAGAACCCACTGAAAAGATCCCCATTCCCCACGGGTACAGAGAGCAGAGAAAGCAAAGTGGGCCCAGAGACAGAGCCTGGGCAAGGTTTTGTGATGGGGAGGGGAGAAGGAGAAAGAAGGGTAGGGCTGCGGTGCTATTTTGCTGGGGATGCAAGGGCTGTTCATTTAACAGGTATTGAGCGAGTCTACTGCTAGGTTGCTTGTAGACCAGGGCTGGGCTCTGGGGAAACAGTGGTGAGGAGAACCCCTCTGTGAGGTTGGGGAGGAAGAACAGTAATTAATGATTATAATTGTGATTGCAAGATGTTGCTGCTGCCTCCAGATAGGGGAATTAATTGAATGGCTACCCCAGGATAGCCAACGGACACCTCTGCTCCATCACTGCTGAAACTGGCTGAGGTTACCCAGCCTCTGGCCAGCGAGCGCTGTGCCAAAGGTCAGGGCTAGGGTTGGGGAGCACTGCGGAATGGGGGTTCCCCAATCACAAGCAGCCCTTCCCCTCCTCCCTTATGAAGGGCACTAATAGCTGAAAGTGAAAACAATGATCTTGGTCTCCGACATTCCAGTATTGTCCTAGAGCTGTTGTATATTAAAAACTGGAGCAAGAGAGACAGAATTGTGCTAAATATCACACAAATAAATATTTGACTTAAAACCAGCCAAACTAACTAAGAATAATGGAACCAAAAACATTGCAATCAAAGGACAGACTCCCAGTGTCTATCTAAAGTCCAAGAAAGAAAACAAACTTGGAGAATGGGATTGATTTAGTCTTAAAAAGCCAATTCAACCTTGTTTCAATGGTTGAGAATATGTAGAATTAAATTCCAACTAAAGAGTTGAAAAGAACAGCCATTTCTGTGGCACAATGACAGTGTTTCAAGGTAAAAGCCTCCTGTTATCATAGGACTCCCGGGGACACCTTTTGTCTTACCTCTGTCATAGTCCCCAGAAAGATCTAGCAGGCGAGAAAGACGGAAGAGAGCAGAGACAGAGCTGAGGAATTATGTACATATACATACCCTCCAACTGAGGAATGGCGGGACCTCTCTAATCCCATCATGCTGAGCACCCAACAACTTCTGATAATACCTGGGTAACACTCCTGCTGAAGTGTTATCCACCCGGTATGCCCTGCCTAGTTCATTAACAAGTTAATGGCTTTCTGAGCTCACTGGCAAACATGACAAAGAGCAACTGGAAACCTATTGTATTTGCCACTGGTCTCTGTGTGGGGTTTAAAAGGACAGATTCCTGCATGCAAAAATCTGCAACGTCACTGGGGAAGGTGTGCTCAAATGAGTTATTTTAGAGCTGTATTGTTATAGAAATGGTGTAAGAAGAATGGAAAAGGGCCGAAATGCTTTCCTTGTGCGTTATATTATATTATATTTCTTTCTATATAGGCATCATAAATCTTATCAATGAATGGACACGACATGTTTCTACATTTTGTGATGCACTTCCTTGTTCATATATCTTGGTCAATGCCTAAGAGCATATCCAGCTGGTAAATTTCTAGCCATGGAATTGCTTAGTTAAAGGGTTATTATTTTCCCAGAAGGCTGTACCAGCCTCCTTCCCTCCTCTGGCATTGAGAGCTCATTTCCCATGTACTTATCACTCTGGCTGCAATAATAAGCATCTTAATTTTTGCTAATATGGTATGTGAAAAATAGTATTTCATTGTTTTTTGGATTTGGATTATTCTTTGTGTCTATTGGGTGTTCATATTTCACCTTTTATGACCTGGCTGGTAGTTCTTAGAGGCCACTTGAACTGCCTTCTTTGAGACTTACGCCAAATGTCATTTGCTTTGGGAAGTCCTTGCTGACGCCATTCTCCCTACCCTGGCTTCCAGCTGTGCTGAGAACCCCATCCTGGTATCCACTGCCCCAGACTTTACGTTGTCAACACTGTCTTGTAAACTGTTTGTTTTTTTTTGTCTTTCACCAACTCTTCCCTCTATCCCTTTTCCCCCTGGACTAAGAGGTTCGGAAACCTGGTCTTCCAGAAATCTTGGCTTCTCCAACCACTAGTGCAGCGTCTGCCTGTGCTGGTTTTCTTTTGGCTAAAACTTACTCCAGTGGCCACATTGGTGACAGACAGAAATGTTAAGTCTCAGCCCTATTTTCTAAAATGGAGGTGGCGCGAGGGCAAGGTCTTTGAGAAAGGCCACAGGAAAACAAATTGTTTCCCCAATCCTAAGCCTGGAAATGTAGCAAAGAATACCTCCTTCCCCCAACAAAGAAGGAAAGAAAGACAAATCCTAAGTATGTACTCCAAGCCATCAGTGATATGCGAAATTCTGGGCAACTTACTCAAGAGTGTTCACCATGTGTAACACAAGATAATTTCGATGCACTTACTGGGAACCATGGTAGGGCATGGAAAGTCTGATTTAGAGTTTTAGATGTAGTTATGATTTAGAATTCTTTTATACCCAAATCTTTCCCTTTCCAATTAAATTCAACAAATATTTACTGACCAGCTATTCTGTTCTGAGCACCATAGGGTAGACAGAGATTTCCAAGATTGGGCTTCTGCTCCCTTTTCCCCTCTCCTGAGATGAGACAGGCCCAGTAATCTAAGCCAAGTGCCGTTTTAGTGTGATCAGATAGGGAGGAGGTGACCACTTCCTGACTTCCTGCTGACCATGTCAAGGCCAAGTGTCCCCATCAGAGAGATAGATGGTTGGGCAGACAGACTCCTAGGGGTTAGACTTGGGACAGCAAGCTGGGGTCGCACTTGATTTTCACAAGACCTGGAGAATCTCATTTCAAAGTGCTTCTTA